ATGTCATAAAAATCCAATTAGCTACCTGTATTTACAATCCCATGTGTATTATACATGTATATTAACTCAAAATTTTGAAACTTTAAATGTTTATATCTAATAAGCTAATAAAGTTATATTAAAAATTCAAATGCCATTTACTATTAAATTGAAAACTCAAACATTTTATTAAATTAAAAATATGTGTTACCATTTAAAAAAACAAAGTTGACCCCCCTCCAAGGCATAAGGGATGAACTTAAAAAGTATTACATAGTTAAAAATTTAAGAATAATGTGTAACTAAAAATAATAAAAAAAAAAAAAATGTTTAAATTATTATTATTCTGCAAGTAATTGAGTGGGTTATGATAAAAAAATCACCCTGTATACATATTTTACTAGCTTATAATATAGGAAATAATATAATTATTAAAATGACTGTTCGATAACAACTGTTGGATTATTGTTTCAGAAGTTATTAATAACTTAAACTTATGACTGGAGTTGAGTTGCGGGTGCTACTATTTTTGTCACTAGATATTTCTCGGTCGCACTCCTCCCACCAATTTATACAAATGTTAATAATTTTCGAAGAACTTATCCAAAAGTTGTGACTGACTCGTCATTTTTTTCATTAGACAATTTTGTATGGATTATAAGAATTTTTTTCATAAATACTTTAAAAACACGAAAGGATTATACATTTTTTTTTACATACCATTTCCCTTTGTAAATAAGGGGTTAAAAAAAATTTGTTCTTTATATGTAAACTTTAAATCTAATCATCTTAGGTAATTTTCATTCATTTTAGATATCTTTTTGAAAATCTGACCCCATGGGGGATTTAAAATAGCAACTTCTATATTAAAAGTTTATATTTTCAAATTAATTTTTGTAACTGTTCCAAAAATACTGCGCCTTTTACAATTATGTTAAATTAAAACTTTTACGATGTACTATAAGTTAAAAAAAAATTTATCCCGAAAAATTGTTTCAGGCAATATTGACTGCTTATACATATAATATCAGCTTTTGACAGACTAAGCTATCACTGCATAACACAATAAAAATGTTGTTATTATTTCCTAATATTTAATTTTCATTAAAAAAAAACGGGGAATGGTAAAATATTAGTCGAAAAAAAAAAGAATAAAGGAAATGCATCAACATTTAAAAAATGGTATCAAAAAAAAAAAATACATCTGAAGTTATACATGTATATAAAAATAATTATCATAAACTTTCTTAGCTTTGATGCAATATTGAAAAGGAATTAATTTTACCATGATGTGTTTTATGTTTGTGTCTGTCCATATCTATCTACTAGACTATTATTGTTTAGCATCAAAAGAATAAAAATACATATTGTTTAAGTATACAGCACTAAAATTTTATGAACTTCTCTTAAAATCTGAGACGGTAACATGTTTTTCTTACCCGCATACTACGTTATAAACCTAAAACCAACGCTAAGTAACTTAAGTAATGAGCTTTTTATTTCATACACTTGTAAATTACTTGATTACCAAATATATAATTTTTTTACATTAGTAAAGTTTTAATTTCAACCAACAAAAACAATTAAATTATTTTACAAACAATCTAGTCAGACATGGATGATGATTGGTACAACGTACATTTAGTATGATAAAATTTGTGTCTTTAAGTTTGGTAGTTTGTTTTAATGCATACATAGATTCAAACACTGCCCTACAAGATATCATTAAAATCGTGGTCTTTATTTTTAATTATTTAATTCAAATAATTTTTTATTATTTTTATTGTTATCGTTAAAAAAATTGAATTTATTTTGATTTTAATATTGCCATTATAATAGTATTAAATTAATTGCTTCTAATCCATCATTGAATGTAATAAATCAATTATTTATTTAGTTGAATAATTAATTTTTGCATATAATTATAGTTGTTGGATAGTTGAAAACTCGTTTACTTTTAGCAAAACTTTTGAAAACTATATTTAGCCTTATTTTTACAACTGCAGTAAAATGTTTGAAATTACACTGATTTATAACTCATGTTTTAAATTAAACATAAGTTTATGAAATTATGAGAAAACAATTTTTTTTCGTATATTTTTGTATTGTTTAAAAATGCACTAACTATACTTTGGAGTATTAGAAACAGTTAACATTAAATTTATAAAATGTATAGTCAAAATTAAATAAATTTTGAACAATATCTTACATGTAAAACAAGTTCATGTACTTTAAGTAGCTTATATCACTAAATCAATACAACATAAATTGTTATGGAATATAATTTTATAAATTTGTAGACAATCGAGTCAACCAAGTTATAGATTTATATTTTTTTTCACAACCATGTAAATACATACATACTATTCATTTGAAATATATTTATAAAATGTAAAAAAAATAATTGACAGTGCAACTTTTTTTTTAACTCGAACCTAAATACAATGAATATAGGATTTTTAATTGTTAAGGCGTCAAATAATTAAAATATTCTATTGGAAAACAAAGTTTAGCATAAAATTTTTTTTTTTATGTGTTTTCAATTTATAATAATTCAAAATTAAAAAATCATTATTTTCGATTTCCTCTGTTAATTGAGTATTTTTTAGACATTTATGAAAAAATATAGAATTTTAGACAAGCATAATTAATAATAATTATATTATTTTCCTATTTTACAGTTTAAGTAACTTTGAAAAAATAAATGTAACAAAATAATTACAGTATCAACTGTAAATGTATTCTATAAATAAATGTACATAATTTGTTGCGGATTTAATTTGTTAATTGAGGTGGATAATCTCCATTTTGTAGTGCCCATATCGAGGCCTCCAATCATTCCCCTTCCAACGTTGAATCTATTAAAGAAATAATGAACCTAATATTAAAAAAAAAAATTTTGCTCCATGAAAAATGTTTGCGAACGACCATATTATAAATGTTTTCTTTATTCCTATTCATGATAATTTTTTATTTAAAATTATTATTATTGTACATTTTTCATTATTTTCTGTCAGAATCAATACTTAATTATGATTAATGTAATTTAAAAAGTTTTTAATAGAATTCATTTTACTAATAAACCATTATTAAATTATGATAACAAATAAAAATATACTATAAGAATAAATTACAAATAAAAGAATGTAATCTATTATTCAGCTGTGCAATTAAGATAAATTATTTTTTAATCATACATTTAAAATACTCATCATTATTTATGATATTTTTATCAAATAAATATATGATGTCATTTAAAAAAATAAAGTTGACACACTTAAAACAAATAAGGTATTAAATAAAATTAAAACTATATTGAAAATATTATTAATTTAAAAACTAAAAAATATTAAAAAGGTATTAAAATTTTATAAGACTATATTTCAGTTGGGAAAAATATAAATTATTTCTATTAATATCACGTTAATATTTATACTAAATATAAATTATTTTATATTATACAATAGTTATTATTATAACATACTTAAATGCAAGAGAATTATTCTTTTTTTGTCTAAATTAAAATTTACTAAATAGACGCGAATTTAATTAATAAAAACTTCTAATTTTAAAATTTGTATCAATATTGGATCGTCTAGTCGTCCCTTATTATAATATTAATTGTATATATTATTAATAATTTTGATATTATAATTACTATTTGATTAAATACGCGAATAAAAATAATTATTCATTGACTTCTAATCGATATTATAAAACAACTTTTCTCAATGCTATAATAATAATGAATGTAAAATCGTCATTAATCGGTAGTTCTATGATTTGTTTTTGTTTGTGAGCTTCAATGGAAAATAATCATCAATGAATTCTGAATGGTCCAGTCAACAAAATCCAACCCAATTTCAAACAATTTTTTCGCTTGACAATTTCAATCATTTAACACCTTATAATAAATGTCTACGTCACAAACGAAAAGCGCAATTTTAACAGCTTAAATTTAATAAATCATAGTACCACTTAAATATAATAACTTACGCCTAACGTTATTTTTCTGTTATAATGGTTTCATTGGTGTTACAACTGTATTATAGATTCATTATTATATATTAGGGCTATATGAACTATATTATGCTGTTGATTTAACCGATACGTCGGTAAAACTACCACAATTCCAAATCGAATTAATTCAGTTATTTTAAATAAACGTACTTGATAGAGTTACCAATTAATATGGTTGTTTTTACAATAATATGATTTTCCCAATTATATAATTTTAAACTATTTAAAATACGAAAAATAAAAAGTAAAACGATCAGTTTTACATTCGTCTATTTCCCGAACTTAACATGCTACCAAGAGTGGTGGCGGCCCTTTTTCCATGTTAGGGAGTCAAAGATGGACGATACGGGTATTATGGTCGGCTTACATCAGAGACCAAACACCACTGATGAGAAAATCACAAAAGAAATCTGTTTGACACTCTTGGAATCAAACCTGGGAACTCGTGCGCCGAAACATACGTTTCTAATCACTAGGCCAGGGTGACTCCTCTAACAAAAAAATACACAATTGCACACTTTTTATTTATAATATTATTCTATTTAATGCGTTTTTATTTTTGATCGAATTTTATTCTACTTTTATTGTAAAAATTTGAATTATATATGGCGCTTTTTTAAAAATGTATTCAAATATCGTTAACTTTTCATGGAATTAAGAATCTTAACTTACGACTACTAAAACATACTCAATTGTATTATTTGTTGGAGTTAATATTTGTAAAAAAAATTGTGATTTCTTTAAACATAATACTTGCAAAATTAATATTGGTAAGAAACAAAAATTTTGTAAGGCAATACTTCAACAAAATTAATAATAATAAAAAAATTTTACTAAATAAAATATTTATTAAGGAGTATTGCATAGTTGTAATTCAATTTAAAACCATTCATCATTTATTTATCTTATACGTTGCCCGAATGAAGTAGTTAAACTTTTAACTAAAAAAAATAAAAATTTACTTACGAAAATTAAAACTAGATAAAGACATAGACACAGTTAAGTTTTTAGATTAAATCTACATTAACATAACAACTACAACTAACAACAGAAATATTTAATATTTAATATTAGCTGTATTAAAAAACATTAGTTTTAATTTTATCCAACGAAAAAATCTTTGTTTATAAAGAAAATTTTGACAATTTGTTACCTTATGATATGTTATACATATTTACTATTTATTTTAGTTTCGATGCGAAACTGAGAAGGTATTGGTTTTACTATGTGTTTTTTTTTTTGTTTGTGTGTCTGTTACCACTTTTTCTCAGCTCTCACCGAACGGATTTCTTTCAACGATACGTCAAAAGATCCCAAATCGTATCTAGTCGAAGACATTACCCTCAAAAATTGAAAAAATTTCCTCGTTCCCCATAAATGGGGGAAACCTCCAAAAATATTACAATTTTATAAATTGCCAATTTTCGAAATTTTTAAAAATTTTTTTTCTTAAAACTGCCATAACTTTTTCAAAAATGAACAAATCAATATAATTTTTTTTTTTATAGATGCACGCTGTCTTCACCTATCCTATGGTATATTTTTTTTATAAATTTAACCCATTACCTGCCCACAGGGGGGGATTTAATATGACAACTTTTTCACAAAAAATTTACTTTTGAGAGTGTTCCGGAAATACTGACACTTTAAATATATCTTAAATTAAAGCTAATGTAATGTACTTTATTATGGAAAAAAGAAATGTCGGACTTTATTTTGTCTTCACGGTGACACGGCCCGTAATAGCGCATTATTCATTTACTTTGAATTATGATGCCGTTCCACCTTCAGAAGTAGTCACCGAGATCACAGTTCCGGCAGGAGATCTCATGCAAACTCCCGACTGNAGGAGACACCAATGGACATCGGGGTTCCGGCAGGAGAGCTCATGCAAACTCCCGACTGTCTCAATGAAGATATTGAGACTTTCCTCAATCAACCTCTGCCAACTGCTCCCTAGACCATTCCNTTCCGGCAGGAGATCTCATGCAAACTCCCGACTGTCTCAATGAAGATATTGAGACTTTCCTCAATCAACCTCTGCCAACTGCTCCCTAGACCATTCCTTGCTGTTTCCTTTCCAATCCTATCTACCCTGAGAGTGTCACCCGCTATCCTTAGAGAAAGGCGATAGTGAACACCTCAGGAAGTCCGACTCCCGAAAAGGGCTTAGCGATGTTATAAAGGAGAGGATATAGAGGAAGAGAAAAAAAAAGTTTATCGACTGAGATTTAGTTCACCGGTTGTTCACCGTAATAGCGCATTATTTATTAAGTTTGAATTAGCACGCTACCCGGTCGTGATTATCAGCTGTCCACCGTCGCACTCGTTAGTGTTGACGATAACACTCGTTTGTCTTGTCCGGTGATCGGTAGATAGGACAGGTCAGTGGGGTACAGCACCGCGAGACACATCGGCGACTATGTAAACCAGTTCATCTGTGACTTACATCCGCCGCACGTGTCGTCGAAAGATAGTGATATTGATTTTCATATCGGCTTTAATATTGTCATTGTTTACTTAATATACTTTCAATTATCTTAATTTTATGGTTATAGTTAAAGAACTAATAAATTGAATCCACAATTACTTTAATCATAACGTCGTTACAATTTATTTTATTAAACACCTTTATACCGTGTCAACGGTGAAAATGGCTACCAAATGCTATTTTTGTGTGAAAATTCTCGATTTTATTTTTTACATTTTAAACTTTATTATAATGCTATAGCTAATTGAAAAGTGTATGGATTGCAAAAGTTTATGCCCTACGGTAAAACATGGGGGTGGTAATGTATTAGTTTGGGGCTGTATGAGCGCTGCAGATGTTGGTAATTTAGTATTTATCGATGGTATAATGGATCAACATGTTTATTTAAACATAATAATTTACATGCAAGTGTTGAAAAACTAAAAATTGGCAATTCGTTCATTTTTCAACAAGATAACTGCCCAAAACATACCGCAAAATAAGTTAAAGACTAGTTGTTATATCGATATACCAAAGCAACTTAACACACCTCCGCAATCACCAGACATGAATCCTATAAACCATTTATGAGATGAAATAGGTAGACGTCTAAAAAATTATCAAACTCGAGACAAAGAACAATTGAAAACAGCAATTCTTGAAGTATGGAACAGTATTGACTAAACTGTTACATCAAAATTAGTAGAATCCATGGAAAAACGTATGAATGAAAAAAAAAACACAACATCGTAAAACCAATACCTTCCCGGCTTCACATCGAAACTAATATCTAAAATAGCTATTTTGTAGAGTAGATTTTAAGAAAAATATTGGTAATAAAATATTTTATTAATATTCAGTAGTAAATAATCTGTAGCATTTTAAAGTTTTTGAAAATTTGAACTTTCATGTACTATTTTACCTATTAAACAATGTAATACGTGTTGAGAAACGGACAGAAGTAAAGTGAGATAAGTAGTTTTATCTCTAAAGAGATAACTTATAAAATAATAGGTATTGTTCATGTTTTTATTTAAACTAAAGCCAGTCAATGGAATGTTAATAATTTTTATTGATATACTGTATAATATACAGTAAAGTTATTTATATATACAATGTATATATAAATAACTATATGTTACTCAAACTCCATTAATTAACTATTAATTCATTATATAATTTCAATATATAATATATATTCAATATACGTCATAATAGATTTTTTTAACTTTATATAACTTCTTTTAATGCAATTAAAATAATCCTTTTGGTTTTATTTATTTATTTTTTTTTTAATGTTTAAAGAAATAATATTTTTATTTTCAATATTAAATTATAATTAATAGGTTTTTGAAAATAATGCAATCTAAAAAATGGTGTGGTATTCGTAAAATCATTATTTTTTTTTTAAGATTTATAAATTTTAAAGTTAAGTATAAAGGGTACATAAATTAAGTAAGGAACCAGAAAAATTAAGTTATCTATGGAGTAAAATATTATTTAAATAAATAAAAAAAGTCAATAACATTTGTACGAAGTTAACCATAGTCCAATTTTTAAGTGGGTTACCTGAGTAATCAGTATAAATAAAGTCTCTCTTGTGAAAATAGAGAAGCCACTTGTGGTTCCTATGCTGCTCGAGGTCTTTATTGACCCGACTCACAGTTAGGTCAAGCTTAGGTAACTACTGGTACGAGTGACGTTATTGATAATTTATGTGTGATAATTAATCATAGTAATTTCTATTTCAAAATATTATTATATTAATAACTTTTCAAACATCACTTTGCTTTTCTATGTTTTACATCTTATCATAAAACCCTCGTACTCATATTCCGAGACAACATTATATTATATCATTTTATTTAATAAATATATAATATATTTATATTATATAGTAACTCAATTATTCTCATGCTCATAAAATGCGTACAAATAACTAATTTTATACATCATTTTAATAATAAAACAACGACTTTCATTTTACTTATACATTCTTTTTTTGAGTTACTATAATATGGATACGATTTTTAAAAATCAAAAAAATGTATCTAATTGAAACTATCAAAGTCATAGTTTTAAAAAATTTCTCTCAATCCCCATAAAAAAAGAAATCATCCCAAAAAATTACAATTGTTATAAAACAATCAATGATGATATTTTAAATTTTCTCTATACATTGTTCATATACCATATGATTAAAAAAATAAAAACGTTCCGATAATTTTTTTTTTATGAATATGCATCCTCTAAATTTGAAAGTTATATAATTTTTAGGGTACATGTTAAATTCTGTTTTTAAATTGTTCTAAATACGTATTGAAGCGTTTTACGACGGTAATTTTATTTATCGCCAGATATCAATCAACAATAATCTAAAGAATACCTCATTTTTACTTTGCTATATTCCTTACTGTACATAATTTTTTAATTTGAATCCGATTATAAACAAACCAGTACTTCAGGAGTTATGAATATTTTTACACTTAGGTGGAAAGAGTAGCAAGCAGAGAAATGTATAATCTTTCAAATAACATAACCTACACTTTACCTACAGCCGAAATTTAAAAATATTAATAACTTCCGAAATACTGGTGTTATCAACCAGTATTATTCTATTATATGGACTAGTAAAATATGTTTGTTGGCCTATAAAAAAATTAAATTGATATCCTTTATATTGAACAAGAGATGGGCCTAAAAAGTATTTAACCACTTCTAGACTGGACAATACTAAACTATCAAGTTACCTTATATAACCAATAGTATTTCGGATGACTCTCATAATGATATTTTATAAATATTCTTTAGGTAGCTTAAAATATTAATTAAATGTTTTCTATTGTTAAATTTGTTCAACTATACGTTGTTTCACTCATAAATTAAATGGATAAAACATAAGTTTATGCTCGTTAATTTAAAGGCATTTTTAATATAAAAACTATTACTAGGAGAACGGGTATGAAAAGGGTTCAACCTCCTTCCATTAAAAATGCTTTTAGCTTATAATCAAATTATTTTAAAATAATAGGGTGGTTGGTGGTTATATATTCAACACCCTACTCTATAACATTTCTACATTTATGCCCTTGAGTGTCAATAACATTTAAATAAAAATTAAGTTAAGTGAATAGTCGAATTTAATAAATTTATATTAAATTTAATAAATTAAATTTCTTCCTAATAGTAAAAATTAAATTAAAAATGTATTTTTTTTTTCGTGTTATTATATAAGGTGATATAAGCGTCAATTGTGGATAAGATGAGAGAAAATAGACTTAGATTGTTTGATTCATATTATAAGGGGAGAGGAATCGGGAGCTTTATGAACAGTTATAGAAATGAATGTTGAAGGAAAAAAAGATAGAAAAGGACCAAACATGAGATGGAGGGATGTGCCATGTGCTAGGAGTTGTGTTGGAATGAATTAGACGACAGGGATGGTTTTTTTTCCAGATGGCGTCGAGCCGTTTAATGAAAAACAAAAGAATACAAAGAATAATAACACTAAAACAAATGATAGAAAAACTGCGATGGTGGTCCGGTTGCGT